TTGCAATTATTTTTGTAAGAGAATTCACATCATTTTGTACAAACAATCCTTGAAAATGCACTTCCTTAACAGTTAGGAGATTTTTTCTTGAGTTCCCCTCACAAAATGGTGTTTCTTTAATTTTATGGATGATATAATTTAAAAGAGTATAGTATTATGTTAAAATGTTTAGAAATACTCAGATAAAAGAATGCTTCTTGTGCGAACAATCCTCAGAAATGCACTTCCTTTGTAGTTAGGAGACTTTTCCATGGATTTCCCTCACAAAAAGACATTGCCTTATATTTTTTATATCAAAGATAAAAATAAAAATAGAACGAGATAAAATAAAATAAAATAAATATAAAGCAAAATAGAAGACTATCGAATACAAAAAAATAACCTTGTGCGAAAAATCTTCAAAAGACATTTTCCCTTGTAGTTGTGAGATGTCTTCATAGATTTCCCTCACAACAAAATTTATATTTTTTCTATAAAAAATATGATGATTTATATAAAAAATAAAGTTTGAATAATAATATAAATATGAAGATATGTGCTAAAAAAGGGTTGCAATAATAAAGATAACCAAGTTCGATTTCGAATCTAAAATACGAGTCAAACATTTTTAGTCTACTAGCTTAAATGGGGGACCAACATAAAAACTTTATAAACCAACCGCCAAGATTAAAATACTAGCCAAATAAGAGGACAAATAAATAAGGTTGAAACGTAAATAGTGAAAAGTATAGGCATTAGGGATAAATATACCTCAAGCAATATCAATGACTAAAATAAAACGAGGTGTAAGTTAAGATGCTTAAATGAAAATACAGAAAATTAAATGCTGGAAATTAAAAGGACTGAAATAAAAATGTAGGAAATTAAAGGGGCAAAAAATAAAATACTGAAATTTAAAGTACTGGAAAAATAAATAAAATAAAATAACAAAAATAAATTGCATAAATTTAAAAATTAGGAGGTTGTTTTTAACTGTTTAAGTCGGACCATAAATAATGCGAGTCATACCCCAAGGCGGGTCACCGCAAGGTCGTTCAATATTTGAATGTTAGAAAATTAGCGAGTTAGTTTGTGCAATAAAATAAAAGGTTAGTAAGTTAAAAAGAACAATAAAGTAAAAGTTAGAGAATGTTAGTATGAACAATAAAATAAAAGTTAGAATGTTAGTAAGTTAGAAAAGTTAGTGGTTAGCAGAGTCTGGACTATAATAATGTGGATCGTACCCGGATCAGGTCACCACAAGGTCGAATAATAAATCAAACAAATTAATAAAAATAAAAAAAAACAGTTAGGAGTTAGTAGAGTCTGAACCATAATAATGTGAATTGTATCGCGGATCGAATCACCACAAGGTCAAATAATAAATCAAACAAATTAATAAAAATAATAAAAAATAGTTAAGAGTTAATAGAGTCCGAACCATAAGAATGTGGATCGTACCCCAGATCGGATCACCACAAGGTCGAATCGAACAAGAGAAATAATAAATAAATAAATAAACAATAGTTAGAATGTACGAAAATAAAAGTTAGTGGTTAATGTGCGATAAAATAAAAGTTAGTAAATAATACGAAACATACTAAGCATAAATCAGTGACCAAATCAAAATAAAGAAAAATAGGGGGTCAGAATCAAAATAAATAAAACAACAGATGCATAGTGACCCAAATGTAAAAACAAGGCTAAAGATGGATCGAGTGTCATTTTACCCTAAAACAGGTGACCATAACACAAAAATGGTACTAAATGAGGGGGCTTAGGCATTATTTACCCTTTTTCTTAAAACATAAACTATCTTCTCCATTTCACATCTTCCAGCCGAAGCTTACCAAGCTTCCCAAAACTCTTCACCGCTGGCCACAGATAAGCCCTCACAAACCGGTGACCCCGAAATGACCAAAATAAGCCCGATCGAAGGCTTAAACGACCAAAACTTTTCCCCCCGTTTAAACTCTCTCTCGTTCTTTCCTAACGCCGACCACCACGTTTTTATCGCTCAACGGCGAACACCCGAACTCCGATCGACGCCCAAACCGACCGAGGAAAATCAAACGAAGTTCTAAGTGACCAAGATTTTCTCCCTCTCTTTGCTCTCGACCAAAGCCCCCCCAAGGACCCTACGAGCTTACCATCGACCACCACCAGCCGGTGCTTCCTGGCGGAAAGATTGCCTCTCTCTCACACTCCGGTCATCGCTCAACAGTGGCCACCCTATGCATCTATACTAGCCCAAAAAATGAAAGAAAATAAGAAAGAGAAATAAGAAAGAGAAAATCGAGAATGAAAAGCTTGGAAAAGTTACCATCTTTTATTTTTTTTTCCCAGATTTTTCGGGGAAGGGGGCTTTCGTTACAAGCAAAGTTGGATTTTTATACCCCTTAAAATTAAAAATGGTAAAAGTACGAGTTTGGTCCCTGGACAAAATTAGGGTATTACAAGTAGATTGATTTTCAAGTTCGAGTCGAGTCCCTCGTCTTTATATAGTATATATAAACCATATATGAAAAAAATATGAAAAAAATATATATGTATTTATGTGGTTATAAAATACCATTTAAATTGGAACAAATAATGTCATAATATTGTAAATATTTACTATTAAATTTAAATAAGAATTCGAAAATTTGACTCGACTTGAAAAAGTTTCAAGTTAACTCTAAATTATAAAATAAGACTCGTCTATTTGAACAACTTGAAATTTTTTACTCGACTCGATGGAAGAATCAGCCTTACAAATCAGCATTTCAATATGGGACTTGGAAATATTGCATGCAAACAAGTGAAAAGGGCTCATCATCTTCATTCATTAGCCCTTGCGGAGCTGCTATCTGCCTGCCTTCTCTATCTCAGCCTTTTTTTTTTGGACAAATCAAAACCATGGACTGGAATTGGGATGTGATGTTTTTATTTTGGTTTATGGGATTTAATATTTTTTTTAAAAAAAATCAAGCTCTCTTTCTGCTTTATAGCATACATAGATGACTGGTGACAATACCTATGCTGCAACTTGATGTTGTGATTAGAAAATGTATCATTCATAACATGAAGTTGAGCACCATCAGATGGCTGACACCACTAATGAAGTAGTAATAAATTTCGCACCAGATATCATAAATCCAATTAAACTATTGGTATATCACCGAAATAATTCAAGTGGTTCGTAATTTAAGATCGCTTAAATAAGGTCTTAAGCTTAAGTCTTTGTGTATGCAGAAAAGTTTCGTTAGGATATTCACCCACAAAAACCAAATGTGCGCGAACCCTTGAAACTAGAAGACGGTAACAAAAAAAACCTATTGATATTAGTATATTTGTCAGATGGATAACTAACGTAAAAAAAATTAAATTTCAGGGTAGCCACATACCCACCTTAGATAACACACATACATCCGCCATTGCGATAAACGTAACACAACCAAAAATAAGATCGCAATCACAATTTAAACACATCTACTAAGTTGTCTTCTATATAGCAATAATGATATTGTCCAAAATCATTATTATATGACCGTAATATCTATAATGATTGTAATAATAATTGTTATGTATACAATCGTAACAAACATAACATAACTAAGAAATACAATTGCAACTGCAATTTAAATACGCCGGTTAAATTGTCTGCAACATGGCAGTAATTTTATCTTCCGGTTAAATGATATAACATAACCAGTCTAAATTTTAACCGGTCACTTGTTTAACCGGTCACGCCGATTTTTAGGCGCCGCACACCAGAAGTATCCCGTAGCAATAAGACTTAATGGCTGCCGAATAGGGAAGAGAAACATCCAAGTAGATAACCATGAATTAAGATTATTGTGAATATATTATTTTTTAATTAATCTATGATAATTATAAGATAGTACATGTTTATAATTTTTCTTAATAACGCACACACTGCAGCTATTCGAATCCAGGAAAATGATAAATTTCTCTGTTTCAGTGTTTGTTTTTTAAACACTCACTTCTCACCTTAAAGTATCTCTTCATAATCCTAACCCCATCCACAAAGTTGTTTTGGTTTTTATTCTCTCCTTTCGACTGGTACCTTCACTTTGCTCATTTCCATGGCAATTCCATTGTGTCCGCCATACCAGTTAGGGAAACAAATTCTCAATTGTGGATGTCTTCAATGGAATTGAACTTGAACGGATAATTTGATTAAGGATAGTCTAATATCTTAGATATGCAAGTTGGAGAAACAATGGAAAAGATCCTGATCATCTGGGGGAAGGGTCATCTGCTGAGATTAATGAACAGATTAATGAAGGACGGGAAGTTGAAGTGGAGGAAAACAAAGCTGAGGAAAGCGAATACGATGAAAGAGGCGGTAGGAATGATGAGATCGACGAACATGATAAAGAGAAAGCAGAAATGGAAGAAAACGAGGAAATTGAGGGTTTCTTTGATGAAGAAGATCGATAGATAAATGAATGCGATGAGCAGCACAGGGTTGATGAAGATGATAAGCAAAAAGGTGTTACTGAGAAACTTGGCATACAATCTTAGCATTATCCTTTAACAGCAAGTGAGAAAGTAGGTATCAATGAGAATTGGGTCTCTTGATTCTCTATAACATTCTATCAATCTGCTTAGTTTTAACATTATTGTACAAAGAGTTTGGGCACTGATCCGTCACTGTATAAGAAATATGTCAAAGGCATTGATTAGGAAGAAACCATATTTGGAGCTGTCTTGCATCAACAAGATTATATAACTTGTAAAAGTATCAGTTCAATGTATTCTTCCTTTATGGTTTAAAGAGTTTTAACTATTCCATTATCTTTAAATGCATACACAAGTGCTAGTATTTCACTATTTCTCATGTACTATGGATACACATAAATACTTAAAGCTGTCAAAAGTTTGAACCATAATCCATAATCACTTAAATTAAGAACCCAAAGCCCTAGCAACAGAAAACATCATGGTATTTTTATATTAGCATCCACAAGCATAAGCTCCTAGGACCTATGACTTGGTTCCAATCTAACTACAGATTCCAAAATACCATGATCGAAGTCTTTTTACTCAAATTCCTTTATGAGGTTAGTTTTAAACAGCCTTTTATCAGTTGGAACGGATTGAGAACAAAATCAATGTCAATATGTCCCTGTCCCTCTCAACGTTGTACTAAAGTGAAAACAAATATAAGTTCAATTTCAGGTATGCTTGACATGCCTTTGTTGATGAGCATTCCACTGTAAAAGCATCCATATAATTGAAGTCCCTAATTTTCAGGAAAAAATTAGAATAAATAGTTCTAGAAAAAATGTCAGCTTTGGCATAGTTGTGTGGTAGTCAAAATTCAATGGAACTATAAAGCAAATTGCAATGGAAAATGATAAGCAAAAACCTTTAAATCAAATCATGGTGATAGGTGAACAAAAGACTTTTAAAATGAAAAATAATTATCTTTAGAGCGAACTGAGATTTCAGCAAAAGATGTTGATGCCATTGTTTTGAATAGATCATAACATCCTAAAGAAGGGCCAAGAAGTATAAAATATGAGATCTCAGGCTTTGCCGAACAGAGTGTTTTACCAAGGAAAATTTTGCAGCAACTTAAATAAAAAACTTTTGATGTAAAAGAATGGTCATCTAAAAAATTTGAAACAATGGCATGCGCACTCTCACGAGTCTCATGAACACCATACCTGCAAATATGCCTACAGTTGACAAATTTGATAGGACCATTGTGTGATAGAAGAGGTATTCAGTCAAAAAGTGGCCAAAGGCATAGACGAATGACAAAAATGTCACCAAGTATAGTGGCTTATTTTCTAAGTTGAATGCACATACGAAGCAGAGGGTACAAGTCAAAAGCGTCCAAACTCCAAACGTTCTCCCATGAACTTCAGTCACTGCATATCATTAGAAACAAAAAGGAGAACCAATTATCAACATCTGGAATGACTTATTATTCCTCAGCAACAAAGTAATTGAACCCTGAGGTGGAAACCTTATCAGAATTATTAGCAAAAGGCTGTTCTATTGGCAGAAAGATTGCTGCTTTAACTTGTACATTGGGGTACAGAAGGAACACTCAACAGAAGAAAGAGTTAACAATTTTATTAACAGGAACAAAAAATGTAAAAGAAAACATATCCATGCCATAGTTGACAAATATTGATACTAATGGTGCGTTTGGTTCACGGAATGTAAGATTACCAGTGGGAATAGGATTACCGACGGGAATAAGATTACTGTGAATGTTGTATTTTGTGTTTGGTTCGTTTAGCAGGAATGTAAGATTACAGTGTTTGGTTACAGGAATAAAAGATTATTGGAATGTATATTTTACCAAATTGTCCTTATTATATATTTGTTTTTTTTAACAAGTTGAATTATACTATAATATTACTATAATTAATTTATATATTTTCTTTAAAAATTTTAAATTCATAAAATTCATATAATTTTTTTTACAAAATTGAAAAGATAAATATGTTTAATGAAAGGGTAAAAATTTATTTTAACCCCTGAACTTCATATAAAATTCTAATTATGGGTTTTTTTGTAAATCTAAATAGTTTAAGGATAAATTTGTATTTTAACCTTCGTAGAATTTTTATTATTCAACGACAGAATAAAGATATTTTGAAAAAAAAATTAAGGGCATATTAGTCCAAAACGCCGGTAATCCAACAATACCTAAGGAAAGGGGTAATCACATTCCTAGTAATATACCCAAAATACCACTATTGCAAATAAACGATTACCGAGGAATAGGATTACTGGCCAACCAAATGGAGGAATGACATTCCATTCCCCCGATAATCCCATATTACCTGAACCAAACACCCCTTAAAGTTCAGATTATCATACATTCCATTCTCTCTACTCCCTAGTCCATATATAGAGACATCCATTTCCAATCTACCTTATTTTGTTTGAAAAAGACTTGATATCATCAACAATATAAATGTAAATGTCACAGACACCTTCAGGCTTCAAGAATCCTAAAAAAAATGTAAATGTCAGGTAATCCTTCCTTTTTCCCCCTTTCTCTAGAGAATTTTCGTACGATTCAAGAGAGAATATATATGCATGCACCTAAAGACCACGAAAGGACCAGGTAAATTTTGACATCATACTAAGCCTAAAATATTAACTTCTGACATTACAGTCAAAACCCAAATGTTTGCATCTTTGTTGAGCTCTGGCATCAAATGCTATTGCCTCCTAAGACAAACCCATCCCCCCTTAAAAGCTGAGGTTTAATAGGTTTTTCCATGTATCCAAATTTGCATCAAAATTCACTTATCATCACTAAATTTTTATTTTGGAAACCACCAATGACCCCCTCTGTTTCCAGCATAGTCTTTTTCTTCAACTAAGCAAGAGCTTATACTGTTATACATATGCCCTTAGAATACTATACTTGAAGTTACAAGTAACACATCTAAATATTCAGATGTTCCAAATCTGTTTTCTTGTTTAATCCAATTCAGGCATCCAAAATCTTTCTCAGACAACAACAACAACAACAACAACAACAACAACAAAACCCTATTCCCATATACAATGGAGTAAGGGGAGGTAGGGTAGTAGGCTGTCCCCCAACGCCAGGTTGAGAGCAGCTTCCGTGGAAGACTTCCAGCAGTCAAAAAATTAAAATAAAGATAAAATGCAATGCATGTTTAAATAAATAAATAAAATACGTAGTTGAACAATCTTCATATGCAGTCTTCATATGCACGTCTGTAATGGGAAGTAATCCCTGCAAATAAACCCATGCGTAAAAATATCTACATATAGACAGAAACGTAAGACCCGACCAAAATTATAAAGAGGAAACATGAAGAGTAGTATACACAGAATTCAACGATAGCAGGCTTCGAGAAGGGATAAAGTCAAATGGGTTAAAACCTAAACTAAGGCAACACTACTCCGCTACCTTAGTTCTAAGCCTTCATAAATTCCAATGACAGAAACGTATAAAAAGTATAAATAATGAAATTACTACAAAAGCATTAAAAGAAGAAAAAGATGATACACCCAATGGATGTCGCCCTACTCGGCTACCCTGTTCTTAAGTCGCCATAATTTCCTATCAGAGGTCATGTCCTCGGTAAGGGCTAAATCCTTCAAATAATATCTCAAGCAGTCTTCCCACTTCCGCCTTGGTCGATCTCTCCTTCTGGTATCGTCGATTGTAATCGACTCTACCCTCCTAACCGCATCCGATGGTTGTCGTCTTTGGACATGCCCAAACCACCGTAGTCTTTCTTCCCTCAATTTTTTGGATACATGAACCACCCCCAAGGACATCCTAATAGCAGAGTTTGGTGTCATGTCCCACAAATTCCTACCACATACCCATCGAAGCATTCTCATTTCTGCGGCCTCCATCCTCCTTACGTGATCCTTCTTGATAGCCCAACATTCTGATCCATACAGCAGCGCTGGTCTTATTGCCATTCTATAAAATTTTCCCTTAAGTTTTAGAGGTACCTTCTTGTCACACAAAACTCCAGTAGCAGCCCTCCACTTTAGCCATCCCGCCTTTATACGGTGTGAAACGTCTTCATCTACACCCCCATCTTTACGTATCATAAACCCTAGGTACTTGAAACAATTCTTTGAGGGGAGAATGTATCCTTCTACGCATATTTCTACATCTTCATCATTTTGGTTTCCACTAAAGTTTGAACATAAATACTCTGTCTTTTCAATATTGATCCTTAGACCTTTTTCTTCCAAAGCTGTTTTCCAGGTAGACAGTCTAGTATTCAGCTCAGTTTTTGTTTCAGCTACTAAGACAATGTCGTCAACGAAAAGCATACACCATGGAACACCGTCTGGTGTCGCACAATAGATGTCGTCCATAATCAAAGCGAAGATGTAAGGGCTAAGAGACGACCCTTGGTGGAGTCTGATTTCCACCGAGAATGCCTCGGTGTTACCAACTGTAGTCTTGACGTAGGTAGTAGATCTACAGTACATATCAGGAATCGCATGGATATAAGCAGTTGGGATCCGTATCGTTTCCAAGGTCTTCCAGATCGTATCGCGGGGAACGCTATCATACGCCTTCTCAAGGTCAATGAATGCCATGTGAAGATCTCTATTTTTCCCCCTATATTTCTCCATAAGTCATCAAAGTAGATGAATCGCCTCCGTAGTAGACCTGCCTGGCATAAAGCCAAATTGGTTTTCCGAAACCCTAGTAACCTATCTCAACCTAGCCTCTATCACCCTTTCCCATAGCTTCATGGTATGGCTGAGTAGTTTAATACCTCTGTAGTTGCCACAACGTTGGGGATCTCCTTTATTCTTATAGATTGGTATCACCGTAGACTCTCTCCACTCCTCTGGCATCTTGGCAGTCTCTAGAATTATATTAAAGATGTTGGTCAACCACTTAACTCCCTCTTCTCCTAGGGCCAACCACACAGTGATAGGAATTTGATCTGGACCGACAGCTTTATCCATTCCCATCTTTCTAAGAGCCATTTTCACTTCCTCAGACAATAGCCCTAAAATTAATTGCATGCTTACCAAACCACTGAGGTTGTTATTTTTCAAAGCATCCACCATTGCATGGTAATTATAGATTTGTCCACATGTGCACTGAAATAATGCACTTATCCACCAATACGAATCATTCTTGGTTTTGCAACTTTGACTTAGGAGCATATATGAATCCTTCTTCCTTCTAATTAACCAAGATAAAATCAAAAAGGCATCGAATTGAATCCTACTTCAAGTAAGATCCATAATCAGCAATGAATTTTTAAGAAATAATATCGAATTCAATGCAAACAAAAAGATAAATCAGTTCTAAACTAACATAACTGGTTCACTTTATAAGAGAGAACTAGCAAACCTTAATTAATAGATCCAGAAAAGCAAAAATAGTCCATTAGTATATGATGAATACTACATTAACTAGTAGTAAATTTTAAACAAAATAAGCCACAGAAGAAGTCTTTGTAAATCTCTGTATGTGGAGAGAATAGTCCATCGGTCAGTGCACCATTGAATCAACCCAATTTGTAACCCCCAAACCGATGCGGGTAACCTGATCCGATCTGGAGTGTCATATTAGGGCCACTGGAGCGACCCACTGTAAAAATGGCGAAAATTTTAAAACTTTTATTAAAACATGTAACTTATAAAATCATTTATCAGTATGCAGAAATAAAACAGATTTTCAGACTCATATATAAAACAAAATACAATTATATACCCCCTAATAATATGTATCATACTCTGCATAAAGCACAGGAAGAACTCCCTTACTGATGACAATAGATGCACTGGTACAATTCTTTTAACCTGAAAAGGTGAGTAATAGAGTGAGCTTCAAAAAGCTCAATAATACAGAACTACCAGATGATGCTGAAGAATGTGCAGATACAAATAAATATATATTTCCTTATTGGTTCAGTTATCTACAGATTTCTTTGGCTGAGCTGAGGTCCCATTGATATTTCAGGTATTAACAGACAATATTTACTTCTGATGGAAAATATTTGGGATGATTAGGTTCAGGAGATCAAAATAGGTTTTCTAGTGTGTTCCCAAAAATCATGTAACTTTTCATATCTTTTTAAAACATATATATATATACCCCCATCCGTCAAGTCTAAAATGTGTAGGTTCCCCAGAACAATACACCCAACGACAAGTCCAGTATGGCCCTGAGCACACAGCCGATGAGCCGGTAAGTAAGGTCATGAGCACAAAACCGAGGAGCCTCCAGGTATACTTCCTCCAATATTAACCCCAAATAAAATATGTTCCATCCATAAATAGATATATCAAAAATCAAAACATAATCCAGGTCAAGTATCAGATCAGAATCCAGGTCAAGTATTCGATCAGAATCCAGGTCAAGTATTCGATCATAATCCAG